ATCTCCTGCAGCAGCGTTATATAACCTAGTACTGTGTCAAGATACCACGTGACATCAGTGCCTCAGAGTGCCACGAGGACCGAGAGAGTGCCACCTCCACAGAGCAAAAGCGATCCGTCCACCTTGACGATCGACGGGCAACTACACTTGTATCGCAAGGTCTGGCCAACCCCATGCGACGGCGCGGGGGGGAAGGGGCGGGGGGTTGAGTGGGAGGAGCTAGGAGGAGGAGGAGGAGGAGGAGGAGGAGGAGGAGGAGGAGGAGGAGGAGGAGGAGGAGGAGGAGGAGGAGGAGGAGGAGGAGGAGGGGGAGGGAGGCATGACGCTCAAAGATATGGAGAGTGAATATTCTTATCTTATATTCTGTTTATTTTCATTTCCTCACCTTTTTTTGTTTATCCGTATCTTCGGTTTGATCTATCCTTTTATTCCTTCTTCCTCTATCTCTCTTCTTTCTTTCTTTCTCTATTTTACTCTCTATCTCATTTTCTCTCTCGAATCCATGGCACTTTTACCTGTTCCCTTACAGATACTGTTTATCTAAAGACAAATTTTCTGGTCTTTCTGCTTAAATACTAACCTGAATAAGATATATAGTTATACAAGATTATAGTCTTTCCACATCATAAGAATAGAAATGTATGTATTGTATAGAACAACAGGGATATAGGAACTAAATGTGTGTAGTTTTCAGACTCAACGGATATTATAAAGCATCCTAAATCCTTAGCCTTTGAGCTACGAGGAAACTTTGTATAAGGCAGATTCTGAATTAAACAAACACATCATATTCTGCTTTGAAGAACATGTTTCTGATAGAGAGAATACCTCTGATACATTGATCGCTAAGGTTAACAAACCTGTTATCATCACACGACCAGTTAGGGTTGATACTAATCCAGTTTACGTTTCTAGTGCACTGGGTCGTTTTCTCCGTGCTATGCTTAAATTAAATGTACATCATGTTTCAGATTTCATCTGTTGGTATATATATAGTGCAGAACATTTCCTGCAAAATTAATATCTGTATCTCTAACTTAATAATCCCGAACTAGGCATTCATGAATGTCGAATTATTTCCAGTCAATGGATATTAAATTATTTGTATTTTGAATGTACTTTTAATGCACATTACCGTGAGTGACTTATCTTTGTTATACCTAGTAGTATAGATGGTTAGAATACTTACAATTTTATCTGAATGTGAACAGCTTGAACCTACACACGTTGACAGACAGACACACACACAAATATATAGATGCAAATATAAATACACAGCCAGTCCCCGTAAAAAAAATGTTCTTGTATCAGTTTCATCAAGCTACATATTAGAGTGTCTGATATTTCACTAATCCAGGATCCATTCGCATCTATTGGGACAGTATTGGTCATGATGTAAAGTAGATTGTTCTCTGAAACAATATACTGCATTCTCATGATCCTATTCTAACTTTGAATAACTGTCTTTTAAAAAATATCAATGAAGATAAAATTATACTTCAGGGACGATGCATAATTTGCAACGAATAGCAAGAAGCTTATAACAGTTAACATGCTGGTTTCGGTCTCTTTATCACACCCAGCTTAATTGGGAGAATTATACAAGACTTAAAGCAGCTGCTCTGGGGGTTTATAATACTCTAGTCGCTAATAACTACGAGTATTTGCGTGGGTTTATGCTCTTCATAAGGCATAATTGGTGATCTGCCTTGAATACATATTTGGTCTATAATCTGCCACGCTTCGACGAGACATGTTGCCAAGAAAGGTAGTATGTTTACTTAATATTTCTTACGAATCATGAGAATGATAAAGATTCTTTATTTTCCCTCTGTATGCTGTTAAAAGCCTTTATTACAGTCAGTTGCAGTCAAATCTAGATTTATATGACAGGGAGACATATTTTGAATGAAATTTAAATATGCATTATATTTATGCAATGTTTTTTATACATTTGAAATATAATATTTATGCTTTGATATTTTATATAATATTCATTGTTATTTATTTTTATTTATGATACTTTTATTGATAGATTTTTTACGCTTTAAATACTCTAGCATTTTAATCCAACAGGGTATTCGCCGCTAATGACCGTCACTGTTGACGCGGCAGATAAAATATAAATAATCAATCAATCGTCTGTCTTGTTTCCTGCCATCCTTTGAAACCGATACTGGCCCCACGATTCGTCCTTTGCAAGAGGCTTAGAAAGACCTTTTAGTTTTATACTGGTACGAATGACTCTTTAATATCGGTAGCAATATATATTTTTACATTTTTTTGTCAGTTTTCAGCGTGTTTTTTTTTTTTTTTTTTTTTTTTTTTTTTAACCCTGTTGTCTCTAACCCTGATATTTTTATTGTTTTATGATCATGAAACTAGAATAATTTCAAATGCAGATCATACCATATTGCATGCTCCTCAGTGTTCTCAAATTAGGCATGCAATTGCAACTACTTTCTTCACTAGTGATCTTGGCAATAGTGTTACTTAGAAT